CCGTCTATTCATGTTTTCCAGGGTTGCAGTGTTGGTTGCCCTTTTTAACAGGATTCTGTTTGTTTCCACCCTCAGCGATATTCCAGATCATCCAGAGCATCCGGATGGGAATGTAACGAGGTGGACGATTCCACTGTCCGACCGCAACTCAGCATTCCGGCCTCCGCCTACTGCTCCTGGTTTCGCAACGGAGAAATTTCTGCCAGAAACTTCCAGTTAATTTACGTGTAATATACTGTAATCCTGTTCCTTCTGTCAGACGTGGACCAACATGCCGTTTCTCTCCTGTGCCTTATTATGATGAGGAGAAATCAAGCTATAAACTGCAGTTTGCAATCAGTTCCAGCGTATTATTCCCTCAATAGGAGCTCTAGAAATATCGTAATGTGTTATTGTGTGACTTAACATTCCTCTGAATTATGCTGAAATTATTTTGCTGTAATTTCGTATTCTCTGCAAATGAAGGGGCGTATCCTGATTCCTGTGTACTAATGATTGAACTGACCGATAGTGGGCACGAGCTGGAACTTTTCGAACAAAAACTCAACACAGTCGACAGAGTCTTGCACCTATGATTTGTTTGATCATTTGTTTTAAATTTCTTTTTGATTCTAACAGCACTTCTGATAGCTGTCTCTGCGTGCGTTGCTGAGAAGTCAGTGTTTTTTGCTGGGCTGCATACAGGCTTCGTCTCATTTACAGTTCTCAGGCACATATTGCTCTTGGGCATACCCCACGGGGGGCATAGAACTGTCTCAGATTTAGGCCGATGCCTCTGATGGATCTTGGGAGAGTTCAGACTGAAATAAAATGTCACTGAGAGCATGTGTTGTGTGTGTTTTTTTTCCCCTCACCAACATGCGATCTCAAAGGGTCAGCCAATTATCCCACAGATAATTCAAAATTTCATGTATATTAAATGAAAGCTGTTCTAGAGAAACACAGTGGTGGTGGTAGGAACCAGACATCTGAGGAGGTTAAAGGGGAATTCCACCAATGTTTCAAATTCCTGTGTTATTCAATCACTGAGATGGTGAAGTCATCAGGAGTGATTTGATGTGAAATGGTTAATTATAGAGAAACTTGCAGACTCAGATGTCTTTACAGAGGTGGTGATGGGAACCAGACATCACCATGACTACGACACAAATATAGACATTTTATTTACTATCCAAAACCACCAGTGAACCTCCACGTCTTCTGAGCTTTATATGTGATGTTGATGATGGTAAAGCAGTCATAAATCTGTGTGTATATACATATGCTATATATATCCTATGATTATATATATATATAATATATATAAACATATATATATATATATATTTATATATATAATCATAGGATATATATAGCATATGTATATACACACAGATTTATGACTGCTTTACCATATATATATATTAATAGATAGATAGATAGATAGATAGAATGCTCATCGTCCAAAAGAGCCACCAGGGCCGTATCATCTGCACATTTTAGTAGAGTCGGCTTATCATCACTCTGAACAATTGCATTTGTGTAAACAAGAAAAAAGAACAGGAGATAAAGCACACCCCTGTGGAAGCCCTGGATTTGGAGCCTTATTACTGGATTTAAAACCATTAACAGCCACATGTTGCTGCCTGTTATACGGAGAGTTCTTCATCCATAAGTTCATCGCTGAATTAACCTGTAAGCTTTAAAGACGGCCAAGCAGGGTATGTATTCTCACTGTTAAAAGCCAATGTGTTCCGTAAATAAAATCCCTGCACAAGAGTTTGTAGAGTCCAGTTGCCTAGTCATTGTGTCTAGGAGGGTCAGGCAGGCGTCTTCCGCCCCTTGCTTTGGCTTAAAAGGAAACTGCAGGCGATCCATCTTATCTTTAATCATTGCGGTGAGATGTTCGCACGCCACTCTTTCCATGCTCTTGCACAGCACGGAAGGAAGTTCTACGGGCCTGAAATCATTTAAGGTTGTGGTCTTTTGCTTCTCAGGAACAGGTTTAATTCTCTCCATACCTGAGGGACACAACTGGAATCTAAAAGCTGCTGAAAGAACTTTGATAAAACATTTCGTGCTTGTGCTGCACATTCGCTAAACACCCTGCCTTTAAGTCCATCCGGACCACATGCTTTATGTGGATTTACTCTGGAAAAGCTTCCTTTCTTCCACTTTAATTGCTGGGCAAGCAGTGCTGGGGTAAAAAAAAAAGTGGGATTGGTTTGGTTGTCCAATGTACAATAAAAGTAATTTGGTTTTTCAGCGAATAAGGCAGAACATTTCATCTGAGTTCTGAACCATTTGCACCAATGGTATTAAGTTCTTGCCATGCTTCTCTAGCATCCCCTGTAGTAAATCTGGTGAATTTGAATCGGAAACTTGATTTGGACTACGCACATGCGAAAGTGTCCCATCAACCAACCCAATTTGGAATACGCATGTGCGGAAGTATACGACAACCATTCCGATTTGGACTATGCACGTGCAAACTACGACAACCAATCCGATTTGGACTACACGTGCAAAAGTGTACATTAACCAACCCAATTTAGTGTGAAAATGTACGACAACCAATCCGATTTGGACTACACATGCAAAAGTATATGTCAACCAAACCAATTTGGTGCGAAAGTGTACGTCAACCAATCCGATTTGGACTACGCATGTGCGAAAGTGTATGACAACCAATCCGATTTGGACTACACGTGTGCAAACTACAACAACCAATCCTGTCTGATTGGGAAAACAGAGCCCACACTATATGATAAGTAACAGGATATTGAATCTGTTAGAAGGTTCACCCTCACCACTTTCAAAGAACATTTCCCAATTCTTGCTCTCTAAGTGGCCCCTGAGCATTTCAGTTGAGTTATTGTTCCAACTACTAACACTTTAAACCACATTGTTGCCAGTTTTCTCTGTCTGTAATGTGGCAGGAACAGGACAGTGTTATTATCTGAACAACCAAGTGGCGGTTGGGCCTCGGAAACGTAAGCATCGTGTAGTTGGTACTGTAACATATTGATGTAAATCTGGAAGTAACATAGTAACAGCATTAGTCCCAGAGCAACAACACAGGCTGATTGCCAGTTCGATCCCCTCTCTGCTGCTAACTTATTATCAATAATTTTGTCCTGCTTTTTCGATTTTTACAATTTGCTTATCATTCCAGGGATCAACTACAGCAAGACGTAAGGTAACCGTTTGCAGATAAGATCACTGTGTAGGTTGCATCTACATCTTCGCCAAGGTATTTACAGGATATGACTAAATTTCCTTTTTTTCAGAATTAGTATGAGTATGAGTCACAGCCGAGACCAAAACCAAACGTTTCTTTAAATATTGTCATTCCGGGCACTGTGGTCACACCGCTGGACTGGGCTGCCAGCCCTCTGTTGGAGTAAATAAGAACTTAATCATCATCTGCTGGTGAGGACATTAAGGTGAAATTTGAGAATTTTGGTGTGGTATGTGTGCGGGAGATGGTATCTTCACACGGGTTACGTTGTTCTACCCTCATTCAACGTCACGACCAATTGTGGCCAGCGATAATGAACGCAGTCTGATGACAACCAACACTTCCCATATCTGACTTCCTTCCTTCACAATCTGAGGGTAATTTAAGGATCTACATGTTTTGAAATAGACTTGTTGAAACCTGTATAAACCCAAATGGCCAAAAGTTTGTAGACGCCACTGTTTCTTGTAAAATCATGTGAGCTTTTGTTGCAGTAACAGCCCCTACTCTTCTGGGAAGGCTTTACACTAGATGTTGGAACATTGCTGTGAGGATTTGATTGTAGCCACAAGAGCATTGGTGAGGTCAGGTACTGATGTTGGATGGTCAGTTCTGGATCACTCCAACTCATCCAAGGTAACAGATGGAGCTCCATCACTCCAAAGAACAGTTCCATTGCTCCACAGCCCAAAGCTTGTGGGCTTTATACCCCTCTAGCTGATGCTTAGCATTAGGCATGGTGACCTTAGGCTCACGTGTAGTAATTGACAATGCTTTTTCTATGGAGTTTATATAAGGCCACACCTTAACATAGCTGAATTCACTTATTAGAAGGAGTGTCTGAATACTTTTGGACATAGGGTTGGTTTCCCACACAGGGAAATAGGTCTGGTTTGCAGCATTCTGAGTGGAGATTCTCTACTGGAAGGAAAATATAGTTTAGGACTAGGCCTTAAAGACAAATTCCACTGAGTCTCTGGATAAATAAATGGTTTTGATGTAAACAAAGTCGCTCAGAGTGGTTTGGTGTGAAACGCTCTGTTCTAGAGAAACTTACCAAGTCAGAATTGTTTACAGTGGTGGTGATAGAAACCAGATGTCTGAAGAGTTTAATGCATCCAAAAGCTCCCCTGATACCTAAGACACTGTTTTACTATAGGTTGCCCTAAAAACATATAAAAATATGCAGGATGTTCTAAGGCAAAATAGTCCCCAAAGAAAACTTAATTTTTCAGCTTTACCACTATTTTACCACCATCAACATTACATATAAAATTCAAAAGACTTGTGGTTTTGGATCGTAAATAAAATGGATTGCATAATAAATAAAATCCCACTGTGTATTTTTGCCAGCTTATCAATTTATGAGAGAAAATGTCAAATATAGTCTGTACAAACATGCTTACAGCACAAGTCCCTAAATGGAAGGCCTCTTGCGCGTGTCAAGAAACAAGAAGAACACAATACAGAGATGAAGTGCAATGGTTTTTATTGTACGAGCAGGAAAATATGTATAATAGCAGTGCCACATATCTCCTCTCCAATGAACATCCTTTTTTCAGTCTATGACTACAAGTAATGGTTTTAGGAAAACCATCCCTGAAGGTGCACTCTGACATCAATTTCCGATGATAATGCACAAAGCAGAGTGATTAGTAGCTCTTCAGTTGCTGTTAGTAAGCGTGTTTCAGTACGAGGCTCAAGTAAAATAGGTGGCTTTCAAGGCACGCCTAGACAACAGGCACTGATCAGAGAAGCAGTCAGGCGAAGGTCTCAAAAGTTAGTCCTTAGTGGCATCCGCAAACAGTAAGAACCCAGAGAAGGTGCTGTCGTCTTCGCTGCTGGAATAAACTCCATTCCAGTCCCGCAGCGTCTCCAGCCACACTTGGTCACCAGAGGACAGTCGGATCAGTAGCATGTTGGATGCCTGGTCGATATCCTGGCCGTAGAGAGAGTCACGGGTACGCAATTTACGAACCCCGTTCACCACCAGAGCTGCCCGCAAAGGACGATTGCGCACGGTGATGTAGTAGGAAAACACGTAGACGCCGCCGTAAGTGCAGTTGAACTTGCTGATGTTGGGGTCCCAGTGGCCTTCCTCATTATAGATGACCTTGTCAAATTTAACGGGTTGGCCAGGAGGCGGGAAGGACCTGCTTGGGAAGAGTCCAACACTGAAAGCCGAACGTTTCTGAATGAAAGGCTCCCCTTTGGATCCCTTCACTCCCCTTAGGCCCCTCATACCTTTCAGACCTCGGACCCCTTTCATACCAGGCATACCTCTTTGCCCTGGTGGTCCAGGTGGTCCCTTTGTGCCAGGCTCCCCCTGGGCACCTTGTGGCCCTGGGTCTCCTTTCTCACCCACAATCCCAGGAGACCCATCAGTGCCGTTGAATCCCGGGATGCCCATGTCCCCCTTTGGTCCTGGTGGTCCAGATTCACCTTTGTCACCTTTCTCGCCCTTCTCGCCACCACCGCGTTCTCCCATTTCTCCCTTTTCACCTTTTTCCCCCTTCATTCCATCCAGTCCGGCAGGTCCCATCAGACCATGCATGCCGGGCTCACCCATCTCTCCCTTGGTGCCATTCTGCCCAGGTTCCCCTCTTTCTCCGGGGTCACCTTTCAGTCCAGGCAAACCGATGTCTCCTTTGTCTCCTTTAAGTCCTGGCTCACCTGGAGATGTTATAAGAGATGCCGTTCAAAAAAATGAACTCAGAAAGTCAACCTATTAAAAACATTCAAACCGTAATGTCAGATGAACCCACCCTTATCCCCACGCATCCCAGCAAGTCCTGGAATTCCCGGCAGCCCCTTCTCTCCAGCATCTCCTCGATCTCCTGAAGGAACCAACAAGTGAGTGGTTTAAATAGACTTGCACATGGACTTGTTTTGTGGAAAGAAAAATTAATGTAAAAGTTCTTAATTGCGGAATTTGCTATAATCAGAGTCAGTTTTATTCATAGGTTTAAAGCAACTTGCATCACACTGAGAATTTATTTTCTCTGAGATGCGTGAGAAACGCCTGCAAAGGATTATGTTTATTGACCTTTTTCTCCTTGCAGTCCACGAGCTCCAGGGGGTCCGGCTGGCCCTACTGGTCCCTGAGGTCCCACCTGGCCCTTCTGCCCTGGACCACCTGACAGAGGTAGAAAAGACAGAAAAAATGAGCACTGAGCCAAATTAAGATGGCAACGAACAGCAGTTATACAGCATCTGACATTCAGAACATTTAAACTGAATGAAAGAAAAGTGTAACATTCAAGGACAAGACATCATTGTGTGGACCAGCAAAGTCCCAAATCAGTGCAATATCTAAAATATTCTAAAATATTTACTCAATAGTTGGATGGCAAAGCTTTCATCTCTAATCCAGTGGTGTACATGTTATTTCCTCTGACCTGATGACCCCTTCTCTCCGCTGGGTCCTGGAGGGCCTCTCTCTGGTGGACAGCACTCACAGAAGTTGAAGAAGCACTCGTTGTAGTCCAGGGTGTAGTTCCTTTGGCCCACTCCAGGGGGCAGCATAGCCTCAGTGTGGTAGTCTGAAGAGTAAGCATCACTAGCGTAGGTGGTGCTGTCAGTGGGAGACAGGGAATAGGCATCCATGATGGACTCTGTGGTCTCCTCAGTGGCTGCACTGCTGGAGTGGATGGCAGTGGCGGTGGTGGTGTGGCGAGCCCCCACACGGGAGGGCAGCTGTGAGGGGCTTTCTCCACCCTGAGGCCTCTTAGTGGGCTTTGTGTGGACTCGGTATGGGTTCCTAGATGCTACTGCCTCTACTACTGCTACCACCACCAACGCTGTCACCAGGATGAGCAGGCGGAGAGAACTGGGCATTTTGATGACTATGATGAAAAACAACATGTAGCCTATAGAAATGGTTTAAAAGGGGGAAAAACATTGTGAAGGACAATAAAGAGTCCAGTTCCATTATGCAGCATTGTGAGTGTTAAATTTTATCCCTGATGAAAATGTACAATGAGGGAAACTGGGGAGGCTTGTAACACTTGTCCCAGCCTTTATAACTCATTGGTTGGTTGTGGAAAAGTTTGAACACCCCGCTCAAATGACATTGATCTTATAAATGAAAATAAGTGAACACATCCTCTACAGAGAAGATACTTCTGAACATTTTAATGCACAATTACTGTTTATTTACTGAATTTAAACACATAAACTGTGGCCTGTGTGAACATTTTGGCACATTTTATTTTACATTTTACCCACTCATCACATAATCACTCATCATCTAAGCCACTTATCCTCCTGGGCCGCAGTGGGTGCTGGAGCCTATCCTGGGACAGGACAGGTCGCCAGTCCATCACAGTCTTATATTTTAGTTTTTTCCCAAAAGCTACACTTTTTAAGTTTTGGTGATTTGGAGACCTCTCTGGTGAAAATATGTAATTGCATGCAATTCCATGCTGGTTTATGTTGGTCTGGTGCTGGTTTAGCTAGTCACCCAGCATGGTCATGCTGGTTGACCAGCATACCAGCATCCAAAACATAACATAAGACCAGTTATGTTGGTTTTTCTAGCAGGGTAATATGTAAGAAAGTATGACATGGTCTGAAAAACCCCTGCAGAATCTGACCTCTGACTAATTCACATAGAATAATCACATTTAAAATGTAAACATATATGTTCTGGTCATTTTTTCAGACAAACTACAAGAAATGGTAGGAAGTGTAGTTATTATTGTACCTGCATTATACATGCATTTCTTTGTAGTATATTCTGTGACTGTCAAGATGCTACCCACTGGCTAATTTAAACTGCTAGAATTAAATATATTGGAATTGTGTGTGTAACATTTTACGTTCATATTGATGGGAGTTAATTGAATGTTTGCTAACTCACAATGAGGGTCATTCTACTCTCTCCTGCCCTTCAACACTGAACACCCACCCACTACTGCTAAAGCCTGAAGGTCACTGAACGACTTCACACAGAAACACCAACTTTCAAAGGTACAAAGGCCTTTTTTGGCCTGTGAAAAGTCTCCAAAAAGATGCTTAAAGAGTGACTAACCCACATTGTCACTTTGAAAAATGTTTCAAATAATGTAAAGTGCCCTTTCTGATTGCCCAGAATGCATTGCCCTATACATTAGTGGATTACGCTAACTTGCTCAGACAGCACAACTGCCTGTGCTACCAGCAGACAGTGGCTGAAGTCATGATTTCTAGCCTCCTCAGACAGGCTTCAGAGGTGGTCAGCAGTTTTCACCACCAATATAGAGACTTTCTTTACAGTGGTGGTGACGGGAACCAGGGGTCACCATGACTACAACACAAATATAGTCATTTTATTTACTATGCTAAGCATCCAGTGAACCTACAGGTCAGCTCTCTATATAAGCAACGTTAACAATGGTGAAATAGTAGCAAATCTGAAACAGTAAGTTTTCTTTGGGGGGCTATTTTGCCTCACAACACCCTGCTTGTACCCCTCCACCATGAATTAATAAGATGCATTTAGGCCAAAATTGTATCTCAAAACCATCATAAAGCAATGTTTCAGGCATCAGGCAGTGAATTCATAACCATTTTACATAATAACTTTCTGTAAAGGAGCTTTTAGAGGTGGACGTCTGGTTCCTATCACCACCACTGTGAACAATTCTGACTTGTACGTTTCTCTACAATGGAGCATTTCACACCAAACCACTCTGAATGACTTTGTTTGCATCAAAACAATCTAATTATGCAAAAAATGTGGAAAAATCTGCAGAATTCTATTGATAAGCATGTCCCAAGCTCACAGCACAGGCCTTTATGTGTATAGAGGCTTTTATCGCTGTTAAATGACCAATAAATAGAAGTAGAAAAAGATGTAAAATATATGTAGGAATATCTCATTCCCGTAGATTTTTTTCTGTACTATTTTCTACCGCTTAGCATGATCGAATAGCAATGGTCACTAAAAAGGAGCTTCTTTTAAACTCATTTTTAGAAGAAACCAAGCGCTTACTTACCCTGAAATTAGCTTCTTCTCACTCCTCTCCTAACCAACATCACAGCTGCCACCTTTTAACAGCCTGGGCCTCCTCGTTCTCTTGGGCCCAACCAATAAGAGCCCGTTCAGGTCCAGGGTCCGGAGGGGTGTACTTGGCACGGGTTTGATGGTGTGATACCTGAGCAGAAGCTAATGTGATGGTTTTGAGGGGGGTATCGTATCAGTCAGCCTCATTCTCATGCATCCGTACACCTTGGAAGGGAAAATAGTTCAGCATAAACACTGGCTCTCTCACTCACACAGAGCTCACATCTGACATACCTTTAGTCGAGGTGCTGGTTAATGCAGGCCACGCTCTTAAAGGGGAATTCCACCAATTTTTTTAAATTTCTGTATGATTAAATGGTTAAGATGTAAGCAGCCGTTCGGAGTGGTTTGATGTGAAATGCTCCATTCTAGAGAAACTCGCTGAGAATTGTTCACAATGGTGGTGATTAGCAAAAGTTAGCTAAATTTGTCTGGGCCACCATATCCTTGGGTTTGTTCTGGTCCAATATATGGCTGGGTTCTTGGCCCAGATCTGGCCCATACACTGTAAAATGAGTAGAACTAACAACTGCGGCCCAAATCTGGCCCAAGTCTGGCCCAAATCTGGCCCAACTATGTTGTTGGTCCACAATGTTCATGCCAGAATTGGCCCACAAATATAGACATGAGGCAAAACCGTACGCAGGTGTATGGCATCTGGCCTTATTCTGGTCCTAACATCTACCTGGTACTAAACCACCACTAAGAAAAGCCAGAATCGGCCCAAAAGAGTCTGCTATCTGGATCTCATGAGACAATCCAGTTCCAACATGATACTAAGTTTAAAAAGGACAATGATATATTCTCAAAAACTTTCAAAAAAAACCTTCCTCTACAAAACCCCTCAGACTAGTAAGCACGAGGTTGAACAAGTCATGGTTTTCCCAAGGATCAAAGAGGATCGGCAACTTGAGGGACTTCGGCCTGGTCTCGGTGGTGTAAACACAGCACACTCGGGAATGATCACGTACCTTACACCCCTTCAAACGCCCAACGCTAGCATTTCACCAGAACGTCTGAGCTTCACATTCACACACTTGACTTTCCAGAACAGTAAACAAGCAAAATTTCTTAAATGAAGCCCAGGGTCAAGCTCAGGGTCGAGCTAGAGGGAAATCAAGGCTCTCAGAATTCTCAAAGCCAACACCATCTGGCAGAAGCTCAAAGCGAAGCTAAATAATCAAAGCTAACGAAAGATTGGACCACGAAACAAAGTCATGGCAACATTTCTGAAGCCTACCTACAGGAAATTCAGCACTTTTGACTTTTACGTTCTAGCAGGGCGACTGGCTGAAGACCCCGAGGGGTTACCTTGTTCAAACTTTGTACAGTGTACTTATGGTTGTAATGAAATTGCTAGCCATTCTGCCACTTCACACCAAACTTACAGTCAGCTGAAGGAAAGAACACAACAATAATTGAGGTTAATTCCATTTTTTCAAAATTGCTGCATAAGTAAAAGGTAAACAAAAACATTCAGAGTGGTTTGGTGTGAAATGCTTCGTTCTAGAGTCAGAATCGTTCACAGTGGTGGTAATAGGAACCAGATGTTCACCTCTAAAAGCTCCCTCACAGAAAGTTATTACATGAAATGGTTATGAATACACTGCGTGATGTCTGAGACATTGTTTTACGATAGCTTAGAGAAAAGATTACGGCCTAAAACGTGTTTTTTTCCACAAAATAGTCCACAGAGAAAACTTTACAACTATTTTTCCATCATTAACATTACATATAAAACTCAGAGTAGGTTCACTGGTGGCTCTGGATAGTAAATAAAATGGGTATATTTGTGCTGTAGATATTGTGACACCTGGTTTCTATCACCACCACTGTAAAGAAATCAGGGTCTTAATTCTAAGTCTAGAGTTATGGTAGACGTCTATAATCATCCTATATATTTTAGAATTATACATTTGATTTACTTCCAACGCAGTTTCTCCACTTGTATCAATGAGCTACAAGTGAGAAATAATGAAACAATATGTAAGAAGTGATGTTTTTAAGGCAGGGTTTCTCAACTACTGGGCTACCGACCACTGCTGGGCTGCAAAGCACCCTCTGGTGGTTTTCAGGCCAATACTGAAGGGGGAGCCAGTGGTCAGTCACAGGTCATTGATGGCACTTTGTAATAAAACATTTTTAAAAAGGTTAAAAATAAGGATAAAATATAAAATGTTTTCAAATGGCAAACAATACTAACACAATCTGTGCCATAGCAGCGTTCAAAGTAGCTTCAATTATTTTTTTGCCCCTTGTCTTTAGATACAAAATACACTCAATTATCCATTCAAAAAAGCTAGGCTTTGTTTTCTTGCGGGCCATCATGCTTTCTAGTGATAAATTGGTGGGCCATGAGGTGTAAAAGGCTGAGAACCCCTGTTTTAAGGCATACACACTACAGGGAACCGAGAAGGGTTAACATGTATATTTGCAATTATCTGTCAACCAGGTTATTTCAATATAATCCACAGAGTTTGTTGACCCAGTCCTCTTACAGTCCCCCTGCTGTACTACACTGCTGTTTCAGTAGACGCGAGGGTGCCATTTGAGAGCAGCAGAAGGAGTCTGCTGGTGGTGGGGAGGAGGAGGGGGGGTTGAATGAACTGTTACCTGAGCTTCTGATACTCACCTTCTCCCCAGCCCCTACAGAGCCCATGCATTAACTTCAACAGGCTCATGTGAACTGGACAAAATGGCACAGTCTCACTGCCAGGTGCTTAGAATGCAGACCATTAGCCAACGAAAGATCCCTTACACGCCTCTTCCTTCACTGGGCTCTTTTTCCTCAAGTTCTTCTCGAAGTCCCAAATTCAATTTCACTGACCGCTCAGGGTGGTCGATAATTATCCATTCGTAAAGAGGGATATATTTTCGTTTAGTGAAACTGCTTCATATAAAGAGGTCTAAGTGTCGTCCCTATTGTCAGGAGATCATGAGTTCGGTCTCCAGTGATGCCCTAGCCATCCTTAGCCGGGGGTGCAGGACAGCATAACTGTGGGATGAGAGCATAACTGTGGGATGGTCCTTCCTCTCCCCTCATAACTCAGAGCAGTACTAGCTCTCTGTTAGCTGACAGAATTAGCAGTTAGCGTTCTCCTCCAAGCAATGTCCAGGGATGTCTTTCACAGCTGTGGGCTGAAATATACTTTGAAATGAACTTCTTGAAATGATGTGGTGGCGCTTCAGGTGTCTCAGAATAAGCTGATGCTAAGCCTTCGTCCTCCCAGCTTGGTAGCATTATGTAATTTCTCTTTTCCTCCAGCTTCATCACAAAACTGGGAGGCCACACATCTGCATTTTCCAATGTAGCCGCTCATTTCTGCCTTATGACTTCAGGCGTTTCTGAGTTTTGCTTGAAAAAAGGATGACCATGAGGATCTACTATGATGAAGATCTGCTAGGGCTGCCTATTGATATTAAACCCCTTAAAAACAGCCAGAAGTTCCTCCATTTCTCCTGAATGATATGCGTTAGGACTCACGTGTCAAAGTCCCTCGGGACAGCCTATTTGGCCCATACAATTTTCTATTAATATTAGCCCTTATTAGTTTCATGTTGTGATGCACTACAATCCCCAACATGCACTGCAATGTAATGTGTACTCCGACCCCCGTCCCCGAACAACAATCCATGGAACAGTACGCTACAAAAAAAGGAAAGATGCCTGGCGCGGCAAAAAGGCCCTGGGTTCGATTCCCCGGCCGGCTGAACAGGGTCCTTTCCACGTGGAGTCAGGCCAATCCTAAATTGGCCTTAAGTGTAAATGTGTATGTCTATGTGTCTGCCCTGTGATGGACTGGCAAACTGTCCAGGGTGTTTTCTGCCTTCCGTCCAATGACCGCTGGGGTAGGCTTCAGCAGCCCCTGCCACCCAGATGCGTTTAGATGATGAAAATACAGAAGTACATAAGCCAATCTATATAAAAAACATATATATAGGCTTTAAAAGTGAAATAAAAACATAGGCATAGGCAACAAATCCATGGGCGTTCTCTGGACCATAGATTTGTTGAGATTTCTTAATATAGCCCTTTTAGTGGTTGAGTTTGACAATGCTGCCTTAGAATGTAATAAATCTGGCCATTTTTAGTGGTTAAAAAAAGATCCAATAAACATCAGGACCAAATTCACTGAACAACATGATAAAAGTTAAACATTAGTCCAAAATCTTTAATAAGTAACTTTGAAGATAGTTACCGTGCCAAATAAAGGTATGACACTGGATTATAGATATTCCACCTGTCTAACTGTAACAGTGTGATCTATACAGAGGAGCTTACTCAACTAGTTAGATCGGATTTACTTCAGTGCTGTCCAACCTAGGAACCCTTGGCCAGCTGAATATCATACATGGGAATTGAACAGAACACACTGAAGGGCTGTAAAGCTCAGGTGTTACTGCCATGTGACACAATATTGATTTGCAAGGCAGCAATGTAATGTTTGGTAATATTTACAATACATTTGTTTCAGTGACATTTTACATTTCTGCTTTAATACAAAATAGATTTCACTGAAATCACGTTGACGGTAAACGTTTATTAAGTTTGGCCTAAATGACACCCAAAAGTTCATTGTTATCATCTTTAAAATTATGTTTTTATTAGCCAGTGGAAAGTTATACCATATAAACAGGTGCATATACAACAGACTGATGCACTGTGAAGGTTTACACATGATATGCTAGAATACATAAGCAAAGTAGAGCTGTAAGAAGATCTATGCCATTACCAACGCTTATAAATGTCATCAAATTAAACTAAAAGAGAATAATATGCACAGCAATGTATGAGATCTATGAATGATCTGTGATTCCTTCACATTATGTTCAAATACATTTCTGCAGTGGGATTTCTCGCTGAGTCAGGACAGAAATAAGCAGAAATTATTCGAAAGGACAGTGTTTTGATAAGGACATGGCTCTCGCGCATTTGCATATGGATTCATACGAACAAAATAAAGTATAAAACTAAATTAGACCTGATTAGTATTAAAATATGCAGCCCACGATTGTAAATATGCACCTACAGAAGTCTCACACAATGTCTTTGTTTGTAAAATGCACACATTTTATTCTGTGGAAATTCGTGAACTAGTAGGCCAGCTAAATCTGGGCCACAGATTTATTATAGATGACAGAATGATGAATGATGAGGGATTTTTATTAATAAAAATACTATTTACTTATTTTCCCTTTCTGCAAGCATGCTGTGCCATAAACGCGGTGGATCTGTTATTTTTTCCCCCACCTGTTTCCAGACAAGCCCTGCCCCTTGTGCGCTGGGATTGGGTATTGCTACATCGCTACCTGCACTACGATTGGCTAGTAGTCTAGACTCACCGGCAGCTCAGCCAATCCGAATGCAGGAGGGGGCGGAATGCTAATGAGCGCGTTTGTTGTGATGTACAATGGCAAATGCGGGTTAGTCGGCGGACGTCGGTTGGGAACGGCGGGTGTTATAACGGTGTTTCGTGTCTTTTCGTAAAGAATGGCGTTATTTCAGCGGGTTTCTAAAGGCAAAGCCCACCTTCTCGACGTAAAACGAGCCGTTAGGGTTCAAATTCTTCACCGCTGAGGGTCTTCGAGCGCAGGTTTGCTCCGTTTTTGTCCCCCCCGCCGCCGCAGCTGCTCGCCGGGATGATAACGTTAGCCGCTAACGTTAGCCTCCTCCTTTAAGACGGAGCAACGACGGTCGCGTGAAGACGCAGACGCCAAGAGTTTGGTCGTTTTGCTTATTTTTAATGAATAAAAAGGCTTTAAAATGGGGGTAGAGTTGTGGTAAGACATCCTCTGTGTAAAGGTTAACCTAGTTTTAATATTAAGTGAGTAATTTTAAGTAATTGTGACAGCCGTCATCGTCGTCCCCCGTCGTCCGCGTCCCCAGTCGTCGTTGTCTCCTCAGCTTTCCCGCCGCGCGTGTGATGATAGCAGACACAATGACTCTGCTGTCTCTCCTCGGTCGCATCATGCGTTATTTCCTCCTCCGGCCGGAGACCCTGTTCCTCCTGTGCATCAGCCTGGCCCTGTGGAGCTACTTCTTCCACACGGACGAGGTGAAGACCATCGTCAAGTCGAGCCGCGACGCCGTCAGGATGGTCAAGGGCAAAGTGGCCGAGATGATGATGACGCACGAGGGGGGCCTGGGGGGGCTCCGCGCCCTGGACGCCGAGTTCTCCAACACGTGGGGCTTCCGAGACGCCAATGTGGCCGTGTACTCCATCCAGGGCCGCCGGGACCACATGGAGGACCGCTTCGAGGTGCTCACCGACCTGGCCAACAGGAGCCACCCGTCCATCTTCGCCATTTTCGACGGCCATGGCGGCGAGGTGACGTCAAACGTGACCCTTTTTTAAAACATCTGAGGCCTTAAAGGGGAATTTAACAGATTATTTTCAATATTTCTGCACAATTCAGTGGTTGGGATGTCAGCAAAGTCATTCAGAGTGGTTTGGTGTGAAATGCTTCATTGTGAAGAAACGTCAGAATTGTTCACAGTGGTGCTGATAGGAACCAGACGTCCACCTCTAAAAGCTCCCTCACAGAAAGTATTCAGGGTGTCCTAAGGCGAAGTAGTCCCCCCAAAAAAAAACATAATCACCGTTACATATGTAAACTCAGAAGACAAGTGTAGGTTCACTAGTGGTTTTGTATAGTAAATAAAACAGCCATAATTGTGTTGTAGACGTCACGACCCCGGGTTCCTATCACCACCACTGTGAAGTACAAAAGAAGCGTTTCACACTAAACCACTCGGAATGACTGTTTACATCTCAACCACTGAATTATGCACACATTTTAAAAAACAGGTGGAATTCCCCTTAATAAGCATACAGTCAGATTATTGCTAGGGAGGCAAATAAATTGCCACCTGTTTCTCTGATGTTCTACATGTTGGCCACTAGTGGCCACTGTTGAGTCACATTCATAGCTAGCATATAGTTGCTCAGCGGCACCTGTTATCCAACAGGGCAGCAGCTAGCTAACTCCTGTAACTTTGTTTTCTGAGAATTTCAGTCACTTAAAGCCACGAATATACGTTGATATTGTTTACTAAAACTCTTTAAGGCATTTCTTTGAGTATTTGCAGTAAAACTGAATCCAGACCTGGCGCAATACCTCCTTTTTTCCCTATATCAATACTAAAATCTCGCTGTTGGCACATACTGATCAGTATTTAAAAAAAAATAGGTACTAAGCTTTAAAATGAGGGAAGATGAGCATCTAAAAGTAGGCTGTCATGCTCAAAATACTCAGTCTGATACACCACGAGAAGAAATACACAGACATTACAGGGCGGTGTGAGCGTGTGCTATTTCAGGATAGGTTTGTTACAGGATCGGATCGGATTCAATCCTTTTTCCCTCTCATACCAAATCCAGAATCCAGCACTGATATGCCATCTCTTATTGAATAAAGTATCCAGTAAGAGTACACAGCTCTTTCTGAAGTGATCTGATCACTAAAAACATATAAACAATGCTGACTTTTGAAACTTAAGATGTGAAGTCTTATTCAGTCGCAGTACTATCAGTTCATATTTAGGCCACATTTAGATTCTGCTCTTTGGTGTTGTTTGAAAACTATGAAAGGAAGAATATTATCAGGGGTTTATTTTAGTGTTTGTGAGGTTAAAGTGGGTGTGGTAGAGCCGGAAAACGCTAAAATATGCCAGGACCAGGACTGGAAAACACTGGTTTAGAGCATTTACCCTGGAGGTCTTTTTCATTATTTCGCTTTGTGCATTCAGATGAGTCAGAAAGCAGTTCAGAGAACAAAGGCTTTGTTTCAGCCGGCCAATTTCAGAGCCACAGATACTTATCTGTTGTATTCGGCCATGGTTTCCCTCCCCCAGTGTGGGAGACATCTGCCACTTACCCTTCATTCCCCAGGCCCTCGGGAACGCCACAGATGTTCAGATTTAAAAAAAATACAGGCACTTATTACCTTAATGCACCCCATGCTCTGAGATACCATAGAGAGGAATCCTACTCCGAAGCAAAGAAGACAAATATTTTGTCAGAATAGACTTTTATCAGTCAGTTCTTTCCATTCCAGACGTGACCCAATGTTTATGACCCATTAACCAAGTTAGTGAATTCCCAGCTGAACAGTGCTCCACAAAAATAACGGATGTAGCCGCTGGTAACTGATATAGATCCTTATGATTACTGAGATAGGACTATTAGTCTGAACTGGGACATTTAGGTGTTGGTGCAGCTGAAATACGATAGGAGATGTAAATAAATGAAACAATAAAATATAAATATGGAGACATTCCAGTGTACAGTACTGTGAAAAGGTCAGCCACAGAAGTTGCTTAAAACAATTTGCCTCATCAGTAAAAGTGTTTTTGCTAGTTAACCTTTAGAACCCTAAAATTTTGGGGATTTTTTTTGCCATTATAAAGTATTTACATGTGACACTCACACATGCCATTGTTTGACATATAAATGCTAACAGAGAATTGATATCTTTATAAATTTGGGTCATTTCTGATCAAATATTTACATAGCGCCTGCAAAATTTTGTATTTGTTTAATTATAGAGATCTTGAAAACAAGTGGAATTGTACTCTTGGATTCAGGCTGAGTGTTAAAACTCAAGACAGGCTTTGTTTCTAAATACAAATTGAGTTGCATATTTAATATCAGATATTTTTAATACTCAGAATCAATGTGAACTGGAAGAAAGAGCAAGGTATTGTTAATTTTATAATATATGTCATATTTATTGTTATTTATTTGATAAAATGTGTTTTAGGGCCTGTTTGTATGATTTTGAGGGAAAGAGGGAAAATGCACTCATTGTTGAATGGGACACTGCAGTTTTATCACCTTTTATCGCCTTTTTTGCCTTTTTTCGCCTTTTTTGTTGGAATATGAAGGCCAAAAAGAGCAATAATATCAGGATTTTAGGTGATTTCCGAGCCTAGTTAGGGGCGGGTCTGCTGAATGTCCTGATCTGTGGATCATGTTTGTACCTTAAGCCGTTTTGAAGTTATGAAGGCTAGAAGTGACCCACCCTTTGGTCCTAAGACATTACGTAACATTAGAGTAACTACAAATAAACATAAATACAGTAAAACAAAAAGTTTCAGATATCGTCGCTGTCCAAAATAGCAAGTTTACAGGAGAAGGCAAAAACACTCTTACCTTTCAATGTAAGTCTATGTGAAGAGCTTTTAATCCAAGTGATTTTAGAGCATTTCTGTTGGTCCGTTCATCATAAAATTTTAACACAACATAAACGGGAGCTGGTGTGTTGAAATGATGTAGAAAAATAAAAATTGACAAAAATGGAGATACATGGTTTTCTTTGGACAGTGACGATATGTAGAAGACTGAGCTGGAAAAACTGCACTCCAGCCATTATATGGATATGTTCAATTCAATCAGAAGCACACTTGATATAATTCAATGAAGGACTGAATAGATAAAGCAGGTATTGGATGGTAAATGTAAATACTGGACTTCTAAGAAAGATTTGGAAACGGTGAAAAGCGAAAACACTAACAGACATGAAGTTGTGATGTGTTTATTTGTTTATTTGTATTTATTCTAAAAACTAGTGTGTTTTCCAACGTAATAATAATGTTTACTGAGTACAGAAATAGCTTCAAAACCACCTTCCAAGATCCTTAAGACGTCAAACGAACACAGATTTATTGAGCTATGTAGATATGGGGATGGGCAGATGTAGAGAAAAACCTGAGGAGAGCAAAAATCTGGTGCAGCTATGCAGGTTATGCAGATTGCTGCCTCATCCACCTCTTAGAATGTACGTAATTTGATATGGAGGCTCATATTTGTTTGGAATCAAATTTCTACCATTTTTTTTCCAGTGAAGCAGGTTTTGTGTTGCAGCCATGAAGTCTGCTCCCTCATGGCATGAAAATTAGACTAAATATTTGTTCTCTGAAGTCACGGCCGCTGAAAATGAGCTGCAGATGATAATTGAGAAGATAAGTGGCTTTAAGGTAAGAGGAGCCTGTGTGGATGAACAGATCTCACTAATGGATGTTTATTATTTGGCTTGCTTAGTTGGGAGTCTTGATAGAGCTTAAGGTCTAAGCTTTAATTTACTGGAAATGACTGGTGAGAAAAGCCCAAGAAAAGCAATAATAAGAATTATCTGATGATTAGATAGTCGGGACAATGATGTTAACCTGTTGTGTTTTCAGAATATCTGATTTGTAAACAAATATTATTTGGTTATATTGAGATAACAGTGCCTATGGTGATTCGTACCTGAGCATTTGGTTGATTTAGTGATTCAAACTTGTGTTTTAGGTGACATACAGTCAAGTGACCTACAATACGATAACTCACGCAGTACAGATATATCATGTTTTGTTTGTTGTGGTTTAGATTGAGTATTGTTTGGTTCTCGCTCCGTTCCCAACACTACTAGAGAACCAGTCAGCGTGACCTCTGAGTCTCAGTGAGCTGTGAAGATATGTTTATGTGCCTCTTCACTGAAGTATAATTCAGCCTTAGCCTCTTTCTGCAGGCCCCTTATTGGTCACAGCCTTTGGAATGAAAATCAAATGAAAATCAACCTTGATCATTTTTAAAAATTCAATGCAAGTTTTAGGGATTTGATGGTAACTGATATAAATAAAGTAAATTAAACAATAAAATATAGATATGGAGAGATTTTAATGTACAGTACTTGAAAAAGTCAACCACAGTTGTTGCTTAAAATGATTTACCTCCTCAGTAAAAGTATTTTGCTGGTTAAAGCACGAGGCAACATTAGAATAACTACAAATAAACATAAATTCAGTTAAACATGACAAGAAAATTAGTTTTTAAAAAGTTTTGAATCGACCTGGATAAAAAATGCACTATGTAAGTTTTAGGGATTTGGCGACCTCTCTGGTGAAAATGTGTAAGTGCGCTTAGTTTTGTAATGCGGGCTGCGCTTCGGACCCCTTCCCCGAGCGGATGAATCTGATGATTGAGTACGTTGAAAGAGAAATCAAAGAAAACTCACAACTTCCGAGGATGCAAGTAAATTATCCACTGTTGTCATCATGTCTTCATCAGTATGATGTTTATTTTGCATTTGAGTCCTAAACATCGAGCCAGGCCTTCTTTTTGAGTCTGTGCACGTGATGTTAATATGAGGTGGACAGAAAAGCTGCTAGAGAGCAATGAGGGGTGAAAGGGGGAGAATAAAACAGTCTGAATGAAACAAACAGCACATTTACAGCTTTAGGCCTAAAACTTGCTTCTCGCAGGGATGCAAACACAGACGCTTTGAGCTTTGCAGGCGGGGTTTTGTGTGTAGTTGCGTTCAAAAATGTATCAACACGCATTTTATA